AGAGAGGTTCTTGAAATATCTATGCAGACAAGTTTCTCATTCATGGTACATTTATACGTTATTGTGCGTTGATTAATACCCTTCAAATTAGAAATTTTGTACCAGCCAGCCAGCTGAATATTAGTAGAAACAATCTAACATACATTTAGATGTCTAAGCTTAGCTTAGCCTAAGTTCGAAATTGAGCTCGAAAGCTTAATCTTTGATTTGGGTTGTCTCTTAAAAATGTATTTAAATGTGCTTATTTTACTTTAATCTTTAGAAACAGGGTATTATATAGTCAAAGCTAACGCCTTGTCTGACTTTAACAATAGCCGACTGTGAGGTGTATGTTGTGTGTATGTGTGTGTGTGTTGTGTGCATGTGTGTATTGTGTGTGGCTTTCATTAAGCTAATTCCCGCAAATTATGAGTAATAACCGACACGCTGGCATTCTTGACCCAGTTTAACTGGAAATTAGCTACATTTTTGGCACCAAGACACTAATTCATTCCATCTATCTCCGTCCCTCTCTCTCTCTCTCTCTTACACACTCTTTGCAGAGCATGGAGCTGAGCAACTTTTCCAACAATAAGAAAATGTCACGCGAGGAGCGTCGCTACTCGGTGCCGCATGGTCCCAACACACCGCTACCGCCGGCGGCATCTGAAGATCTGCATGCCTGGTCCATTTATAGGTGAGTGCGGAAACGTTGTGGGCGTGCCCTTGATGCATCCGCTGCCACTGCCACTGCCACTGCCACTGGCACTGCTGCGGCAGCTGCACCTGTTTGACAATTTTGACGCTTGATTTAACCGCAGCCAAGCGGAAGTTCAAATGCCATAACTCTAATTAGACGCATTGACCACGCCCTCGTGTTTGACAATGACATAGCTAAGCGCAGCTCTAACTCTTTCTTCTCTCCCCCCGCCCCAACCCACCCCCCACCAACCTGCAGGCAAAATCTGAACTCTGACTTCACCGATTCGGCGCTGGGCTCGTCAGATAAATCACCGCTGCCATATGGAAATTTCCAGCTACGCGACACCACAGTGCAATCAATCTTAAATCATCCGCGCTACGGACCCAAGTGAGTAACAACAATAACAACAACAAGAACAACAAAAATGAAAAACATTATTAAATATCTATCTACATACTATGCTGTTACACACATATTAACATTCGCATCTTCAATTAACAACATTCCTTGAGGCTGACAAGTTTCTCGACTGTGATGATAAATACAGCATTTTTATCGAATAATAATTTAAAAAAAAATAAAATAGTTTTGCAAATAAATCAAAAAATATTTCTTTTATACGAATTGAAATCTTGAGTTAGTATAAAAAAAAGTATGTACCATTTAACAGGTGTACAGTTAATGTTTAATGTTTTTGTTAACCCAACTCTACATTTAAATTATAATGATAATGAAATTTATGAAATTATTTTTGAAAATTCCTGGATTTTTATATGATTCCCAATCCAAAAAGAATGCTACGGCGCGGAACTCTCATTCTAACGTATAGTATCTGAAAGAGCTTGTGTTTTTTTGAATAAGTAAAGCTAGGAAGCTAGCTAGCTAGAATAATTAAGCTAAGGATATCCTAGAACGTTCAATCTAATCCTTAATTTTATTATTTTCATTATTATTATTACATTCATTATTATTATCCTGGAGCTTGAACTCGCAACCGGAAAATATTGATTTACAATTTAAAATTGTTCTCTTTGGTTTTCATTCCAAATTTCAAAATATAAAACTACGATAACTATAACCTCCCAGTTATACCTTGTATGTATGTATGTTTCTTGGTACCAATTAAAGTAAAAAGATCAAATATTTGATTTTTTTAGAGTTGATTTCAGATCCAGACCGACTTCTTATTGATTGCACTCTTCTCGCTCTTTCAGATCGCCTCTAGGTTCGAACATGTACACATATCTCAAGTTTGGGCTGCCGCGCGTCTTTCCGCCTAACGCCGGCTCACAGCGCTCCCATCGACCTGGTCCGGGACCGGGCTCCAGTGCACTGGGCGGCGTGCGCGGCCGTGTGAATCGCGGCTTTCGTGACAGTTCGGGTGCCCCGGCGGGCGCCGGCTCCAGCGGCTATGACAGCAGCGACAATGAGACCACTCGCAGTCGTGTGCCGCCCAATTTGCGTAAATATCGCAGCGAGTCCGATTTCCGTGCCATCAGCGGCATGGGCATGGCCATGGCGCACTCACGCCCAGAGTCACGGGCCCAGGGCGGCGTGCCGTCGTCGGCGCTGCGTCAGGCGAACAGTCGCGCCAGCATTGCCGTGGGCCAACATCATCATCTCCACCAGCAGCAGCACCAACAGCAGCAGCAGCAGTACATGACCAATGGCAAACACTACGGACATCGTTCGCACAGCGAGGCTGATCTGCTCGGCGCCGGATTGGGCGGGGATGGAGGCGGCGGCGGACTGGGCTATGATTATGGCGAATCGCGCATCTACGGCAGCTCGCGGCACGGAGCGCAGTACGGCCGCAAACAGTCGAGTCTGGGCCTGATATATCCGAATATACAGGTGCACTGCCTGGACGTGAGCCCCTGCCTGCACGGCGTCTCGCTGCAGGCAAAGGCCGGCGATCTGTTTGCCATTATGGCAACGTCACAGCGCGAGGGCAGCGCATTGGCCGAGTGCCTGGCGGGTCTGCGCGAGCGTCTGGGCGGCGAGATTCTGATTAATGGCCAGCAAGTGAATCGACATGGGCTGCGCGAACTGTGCAGCTATGTGCCCGCCCTGGAGGTCTCCTCGCTGGATCCGCGCATGAGTGTGCAGTGTACGCTGAATTTCCATGCGGCGTTGCGCGGCCCGCTGGATCGCAGCGATCTGAAGGAGCGCATGGATGTGCTCATTGAGGATCTGGGGCTGAATACGGTGCGTGCCTCAAATGTCTCGACGCTCACCCATTCAGAGAAGCAGCGTCTGAGCGTCGCCTGCCAGTTGCTGGCGCAATCATCGCTGCTGATACTCGACCAGGTCACCAGCAATATGGACATATTTGACACGTTCTTTCTGGTGGAGTATCTGCGGCAATGGTGCAGCGGTGGTCGCATTGTCATCATGACTCTGCAGCCGCCCACCTTTGAGATATTGTCCATGTGCTCCGGCGTGCTGTTGCTGTCCGGCGGACGCACCGTCTTCTCCGGCAGTCGCGCCGATTTGCCACGCCACATGGGCGAACTGGGCTATCCGTGTCCGCCCTTCAAGAATCCAGCGGATTATTATTGTAAGTCCGGCCGCTAACTATATGCTTATGTGTATGTATATCAAATTCCTCTGTCTCCCAGTGGATCTGGTCACCTTGGATGATTTGTCGGCCGCTGCCATGCTGGAGTCATCGGCGCGCATCGAATCGCTGGCCAATGCCTGGGATCAAATCAATTCGGAGCCGCCGCTGGCCGCTCCGCCCGCCTCGCTGCCCAATTTTACGCTGAAAGCGGGCTTCTTTGGCCAGGCCAAGGCGCTGGTAAAACGCTTTGCCGGCTACAAGCAGCCCGGCTCGCTGCTCACTTGGATCAGCAAGCTGATAGCCGCTGCGGTGCTCTCGCTCTGCATTGGTTGCATCTTCTGGGATGTGCCCGCCTCGGATCCGCAGTTGTCCTACAACGATCGCCTTGGCTATCATCATTGCGTTATGGTGCTGGCCTACTGGCCGCTGGTCATGCTAACTATACGGGACACCCAGGAGGATCGACGACATGCGGAGCGTGATATACGACTGGGCCTCTATTCGCGCAGTCTCTACATCATTGTGCAGGTGGGCCAAATCTATAGCAAACATCCTCTTGCACACATAAACGAATGTCATGTACTTTATTTATGCCTTGCAGAGCCTGCTCGGCCTGTTTCCCAGCTTGTGCATCTGGCTGGCCTATTTGCTGCCGGCTCACAGCATGGCTGGACTATATACCTATTCGAATAGCAGCGACACCGGCATCTATTTGTACATGGGTAAGTGGGACAGCAGAAAGAAGGAAAAAAAAAACAGAATCTAGAAACCCAATGCGATTGTGTAATTCTTTCTACAGGGTATATGCTGCTCTATCTAACGCTTATACAAACGCTGGCCTTGTTCTGCGCCCATCTGCTGCCCTGCAAGGTCTCTGCCAGTCTGGTGAATGCCCTCATCAGTCTGGCACTGTCTGCCGTCGGCGGTTATCTGGTGCATCCGCGTAATCTGTCCAAGCTGTGGTCTTGGCTGCAGTTGGCCTCACCGCAACGTTGGCTGCTGCCCGTCCTGGTACAGGATGAGTACAGTGCCGAGACGCTGGCCAATTCCGCGGGTCTGCAGCTGTGCCGCAATAAGCAGGTAAGCTAGCCGGAAACTGTAAATTATGGAATTTTTATACTCGTTCACAATGTGAAAGGTATTGGTTGTGCTATCATGCTGGCCCTTCGTCCATTTTAATGCAATTCGTTTGCGTTATTTAAGTTAGAGATTTTAACCATATTTGATGTGATGACTACTGATAAGATTGCTCGTAACGGTAGCTCGACGCTGAGTACAGGGTATCTTCTAGACGGATACTACCGAGTCGAGCACTGTTACTTTCTATCGTTTTAATTGGACTGTGACCGAGTATAACGCAGTCGGATAAACCCGACTGAGATATTCCTACTTGTTACTTATATGTCTATTCGAATTGTAGGTGCAGCATCAGGAGATCATTGTCCAGCAGCCCTGCCCGCCGCCCAATGGCACACAGGTGCTGCACGATTATCAGCTGCTGCCGCAGCAACATGTGCTGGATGCGACACTTAGCTATGATCAGACCACATCTGTGGCCCTGGTGCTGGGCTCTGTGTTGCTCTTCTGTTTGACATTCATAATATTTGTGTGCAATTGCCGCGGCGCGTGCCGCAAGCGACGCAGCCGGCGCTACTAGGCACTTACTTGTAGCCGGATTTGTCCAACTGTACATTAGTTAGCAACTAAATTTCTTTTTAAACAATAACAAAAAAAATGTAGTCGAGACAGCGAACGTTTAACTAACTAAGGCAAGTGTTTTTTATTGTGTGATTGAAGGAATGTTGCGTTGAATATGATAAAGGGTCGCAGTATGTATATATTCGATTGAGCCAAACTGTATGGAGTTAATGATGGAACAGGCGCAAATTGGTGTGTGCCATGATTATGCCATGCTCATCACAGGCGGCAATGACGCCCGCATCATTGGTGGAGCCCGACGGACTGGCTATGTAGGAGACGCCGCTCTGCAAGAATAAAAGTGAAAGTTAACCAAGAGCTAAAGAACAACAGTAGAGAAGTACGCACAAGTCTGGCGCGATCAATGTTATCGCGGAAGGGAAAGAAAGCATCAGAGCCGAGTGCCACACCGTTTAGCTGCTTCAGCCAGTCAAGCTTCTGTGCTGCCGTCAGCTGCTCCGGCGCCTTATCGAACCTATTGGGCAATACAAAGAAGGAAACACACGTCAAGCAGAGCCGGGGACACAATTATTAACAAACTGTGCACATACATGCCCTTGAACTGCGCCAATGGCATATCCTTGCCCACGGTTCCATTCACATAGTTATCGATGGCATTCGAAATTTCAGCACGCTTGACGCCCGCCTTGAATTTCATGGCGGCCACATTGGGATGCTGCCGCAGCCACCAGTTGTCGGCCTTTTCACCAGCCAGACGAGTACAGTGAATACGCGACTGCTGGCCAGCGCCAATACCAATCACCTGCCCATCGCGGGCATAGCACACGGAATTGCTCTGGGTGTACTTGAGCGCAATGGTGGCCACAGTGAGATCGCGCACGGCGGACTCGGGCAAGGGTCGGCGTTTGCTGACCACATTGGTAAAGAGCTTGGCATCAATGGCGGCATCGTTGCGCTTCTGCTCTAGAGTCAGGCCAAAAATGGTTTTGCGCTCCACAGCGCTCGGCTCGTAGTCGGGATCCATCTGAAAGGGTTCACTGGATTAGTGCGGGCCTCAGTTGTTTATGAGGGAACTGTACCTGCAGAATGCAGTAGCTGCCATTCTTCTTCTTCTTGAGTATCTCCAGTGCCTCCGGCTCGTAGCCAGCTGCAATAATGCCATCAGAGACCTCACGCGATATAATCTTGGCCGTGAGCACATCACAGACATCGGACAGCGCCACAAAGTCACCAAAGGAGCTCATACGATCGGCACCGCGTGCCCTGGCGTAGGCTGTGGCCATGGGCGTTAGCTGCTCGTATAGATCATCCACCATGCAGAGCTTGGCCTGCGTCGGACTGAGTGGCACGCCCACAGCGGCGCCAGCAGGCGAGACATGCTTAAAGCTAGTTGCCGCCGGCAGCTGCAGTGCCTGCTTCAGTTCCCTGACCAGCTGCCACCCATTGAGCGCATCGCAGAGATTGATAAAACCGGGCGAGGCATTCAGTACACGCAGCGGCAGCTGTGCCAGCTGTGTGTACAGCTGCGCCGGCTTCTGGTGCGGATTCATGCCATAGCGTAGCGTCAGCTGTGAGGAGCCAGCGCCATACTGTTTCCGAAAATAGTCCGAGATGGCCTCATCATAAATGGCCGTATGGGTAAAGGCCTTCAGCGCCAAGGCCTGACGCGTCTCCAGTGTGGTATCGCCCTTGGCGCTAATCTCGGCCAGCACCTTGGCATAGTCGACGGCCTCACAGATGACTGTGACACGCTGATGATTCTTGGCTGCGGCACGCAACAGCGTTACGCCACCAATATCGATATTCTCGACGGCATCGGCCAGACTGACATCTGGCTTGGCTATGGTGCTGGCAAAAGGATACAGATTACAGACGACCAGCTGAATGAGCTCGTAATGCTGTTGCTTCATATCAGCCAGATCGCTGGTGGTGGTGCGCGATAGTATGCCCGCATGCACGGCGGGATGCAGCGTCTTGACACGCCCACCCAGCATTTCGGGTGCGCCCGTTATGTCCGAGACATCCTTGACATTCAGACCAGCGCCACGCAGCGCAGTAGCTGTGCCTCCGCTGGCAACCAGTTGAAAGTCCAGCGCGGACAATTTCTTCGCCAGCTCCTCCAGACCCGTCTTGTCTGAGACGCTGAGAAGTGCTGCAGGAAGAGAAGCGCGTAAATTGATTTAAAAATTTATATGTTTATTGTATATAGTCTTTGATCTGCCCACCTATTTTCTTGGTTGTCATTGTTCCTAGTCCTTGGGCTGCTCCTGCTAGCTGCATGCGTGTCAGTTGGCAACTGAAATGCAATTGAAAGATGAAACGATTTCAGTGGCCAGACGTGGACTTGGATTGCACAAACATGTTTTCGCTTTTCGCCTAGGCAACGACCTCTGTGGGCTGCGGTTTAACTGATAGCAATTGAAACCCGCCCCATTACATTTCAGAGGAAGGGTAATCTGATGCGCTTGCATCAGCAAAAAATCAAATAAAATATATAAATAGATCAGTTTTGCTTGAGTTGCCGACGATCGTATGCCCTTTGGCAGATTGTTCCTATAAAAGCTATACGAGTTCGATATTCTATAAGATGTTGCTTAAACTAAAGAAGCATATTCTCATTTCCTTATTTCTAGTCCTAGGCATATTTTTCGATACTCATATTTTTAGTCTCAGCTAGTCCCCTCAATTTTTTCCAGATTTTTCCTATAGATGCTATAGCATCAAATTGTTTGGTATTCGATAGATGCTTTCTGATGTAGTCCTTGGATAGTCGAAAAGATTTGCTTTAATTCGAGAAGCATTGTAGTTTTGAGCTCAAAGTTCCGTTTTCGACCGATCGGTATATTATATAGTAACCCGATGCTAATAAACTTTTGCTTTTTGTAAGCCCCTTGATGTTCATATTTGTCAACTTTGGCTAAAAAATTTGTAAAAGCAAAATCGATATCAGCATTATAATAAAGTAGTCTTTTGTTCAACAGCTTGGACTAATTGGAAAGATTCAGCAAGATCATACAAAAATTCAATCTTTGTAGTTCTTCTGGTATCTATATAATGTAGTTGCCCGACTTATAGGATTTCGATACAGGTTTACGTACTGCCTGCTGCTCAGCTGAAGTACTGAGAGACTTGTTTGGATAGAAACAGATATGGTTTAAGAATATATATACCTATATATATATATACGCACATGTCTCCTCCAATGCCTAACACGTATCGTGACATAGCTAAAATATCCTCGGCAAGTGTATTGCAAGCTAATACTCAGGTTTTTATACGTAAATACATTTATTACTACATCTGTCTGGCCGTCTCGGTTACAGCGTCTTATCGGGAAGCTCGGCAACCGGCTTCGATTGGGGTCTAGCTGCCTGTTCCGCCTGTTCTGCCGCCTCTCGCTGCTTGCGCCGCTGCGACTCGCGGCGTCGCTTGTGCTTGTTTGACTTCAGATGCAGGCCCCACTGATATTCACCGACGAAATGACGCTCGCAAATGGCACAAAAATGGCTCGTCTCCTCGTTTAGATCGGCGCCAGGATGCACACGTCTGGCAATGGGCAGAATCTCGCAGTTTTGCGCCTGGCAATAGCTGTCTATGATGCACTCGGCACGCTTAAAGACCGCTTCGGGCCAGGCGCTCACAATGCTGGTGTCCAGCTCGTATAGATCGGGCACTTGTCGATCTTTGCTGGCCAGAAAACGATTGTATATCCACTTCAGCTGCTTCTTGGAGTAGCGACGCGTGACCAGCTTCAATTCGGCACAGCAGCTGCTCAGCAGCTTGAGACTGGCAGCGAGATGCTCCGCCTCGCTCTCCATGGCCAGAAGCTGCTCCGACGTGGGCAGCTGGTATTGGTGCGCACTTAGGTACGCCTCTAGCCTGTCATCCTGCTGCGCATCGTATTTCTGCAAATATGGCACAAACTCCTTGTAGCCAATGGTCTGCAGCACGCCCTTAGTGTACGCCTGCAAGGTGACGTTCGCATAGCTGTTGTGGAACTGACGCAACTCCTTGAGCAGACCCTGCTGCAGCATGCCATCAACTCGTTTGTCTAGCCGCTCATTCAGCACATCCTGCTGGCAGCGCAGCCAGAGTAGTATGGTGTGTGGGTAACGCAGTGGACCACCCAGGCGATTGCCACCTGGCTGCTGGCGCTGCTCCATTAGCTTTTCGCTCAAGGTCTGGCCCGTGCTTTGGTACACCTCAATGGCGCGCTGGATCTTGCGCCGATTGTTGGGATGTATGCGATTCGCGCTGCTGGCATCAATCTGGGCCAAACGCTGATGCAATTCCGCCGTGGACATGCCGGCCATTAGCTCCGCGGACAACTGTTGTTCAACTGTTGCTGCCTGCTCCTCTTTGGTGCTAACCAATATGTCCCACAGCAAGGATTCGATATAGTAGTTGGTGCCGCCGACCACAATTGGCGGCTTCGATTTGGCCAGCAGCTGCTCAATGATGGGTAATGCCGCATTGCGAAAGTGCGTTACGGTAAATGGCTCAGCCGGCGTCGCAACGTCCAGCAGATGATGCCGCGCACGTGCCTGCTCCTCCTTGGTGGCCTTTGCTGTGGCAATGTCCAAGTTTGTGTATACTTGCATGGAATCCGCGCTGATTATCTCGCCGCCAAAGCGCTCGGCCAGCTCCAGCGATAATTTCGTCTTGCCCGTGCCCGTGGAGCCCAGTATGACTATGAGCGGCACCTTGCGCAGCATTTGGCACGTTTAATTTAATTGAATTCAATTTTAAATTGAGCCACAAGTGCTTTGTTTGTTGTTTATTTTCGCTAGCGAATCAAAGTGCGCATGTGCGAGAGAGACAGACAGTGTGGCAGCTCTCACGTTTCAGACACGTGTTAGTAGGAAACTACCTGTTGCTTTAGCTTCAACCAAAATGCTTATGTTTAAAGTAGACTGAATAACATATAATGTGAGCTTTTCTTAACATTTTAAGCATAATTAACTTTCATTTAAATTATTAATAACTTACAAGAGATATGCGGGCTAATGCTCACGGTGCCGGTACCTTTATCGATACTAGTTTTTTTTATCGATAGTAGAGATGTGCTGCTGCGTTCAGACTAGGCTCGAATGAACTGATTATCAAAACGAACTAATGAACTTAGTGAACAGAAACGGTTGTTTATTCATTTGATATGAATATTTCTGTATTTCTTTAGACGTGTGCATTCAGCTACCAACAAACTAATTATAATCGTGATGCCTTTTATATCGATGTTATTTTTTCAATATATCGGAGTTACATCGGTGACCCATTTTTTAGCAATATTGAATCCTGTGCTTATTAGAAGGGGTGTGAATATTTACATATTTATATATAAATATAATCAGCATTCTGATTATTATAGATTAACTAATTATGAGAATTAATTTACAGTCTCTTCAATTCTTTATATAGAAATTATTCGAAATGCGCTCCTTGATGTATAAAATTGTTTGAATTTAGGCAGTGGCTCAGTTCCCAAGGGAACTAGCAATTCGATAGAACTTTAAAATAAACAACATGAATTTGGCTTACAATTATTTAATTTTCTGCTCGATCGATCTCTTTAGAAGTTATGGTCAAATCTTCTGTTTAGCGCGCATGTCTGAGATAAGATATTAGGCGTCAAGTACAAGGACTTTTTGTTAGGGCTACCAACACAGTTGTAAAATTTTTCCAACTTGACACACCTGACAGGAACTATCAAAAAGTTGTTCATTTCCGAACTAGCTGAACTGAATCATTTAGTTGAGCAAAGTCTAGTTGCATAGCAGCAAGCTTTTTGTTGCACAGTATTGTTGGCGCACTCCGTTCAATTTTGAATTGCATGCGAGCTTTAACGTCCTTTCAAAGTCCTTTGGCGAGCTTTTCGTGATGCCTAACATAAATATGTTTGGCAGATGCCGTTTGCCGTTTCAGTTACTGCGGAACTTTCAAACCCATTGGACGCGCGCGGCAAAAGAACCAGCGGACGCTAGTGCTGATGGATATTTTTGAAAACGAATTATTTGATTTAAATCGTTCAAGTGAACTGTGAATTTTAATAGGCCAAAAATTAAGAAATTCTATATGATTTAATTATGTAAATTACAAGAGGTGTGTCTACTGTGCATATGTGAGGCAGAGTGTCGGGTGTGTGTGAGTGTAGGGTGTGTGTCTGTGCGTGTGGGTATGTGGGCATGTGAACATACGTGTCTTTGTGTGCGTGTTGTAAATGAAGAAGTGCTCAACGTTGGGCAAGGACATTACGGACAAAGACTAACACCAGCAGCCAACATGGCCGGGGTGGTGGCGAACGGAAACGGAAGTGCCCAAATTGAAATGGCATTTAAGATGAGCGAAGCATTTAAAAAGATTTCATTGACAGGCCTGTTCAGGTCGAGTTCCTGCCAGCCATCGAATTTGTTTGGCTTTTAGAGCTGCTCACGGATTTCGCAGATCGTTCTCATACGCCTGTCGCCAGCGCGCCTCGGCTACCGTGCCTGACGTTGACATTATTCATGAGCCTGAGTCATAAATTGTGGCTCGACGTCTGCCTTTGGCTAATGGATGGGCGGCTGGTGGCAGCTGCCAAGTCAAGTGCCAATAAAATCATTAACTGTTGCAACACATTAAATTCATGGGCCCAGACTTGGTCGTTATTCAGGCAGCAAAACATTGTCATAAAACTAGTCGACCAGCCACCCATCCATCCATTCATCGAAACGCACGACAGCTCCCGGTCCCCTAGGTCGTGACAGGGGAAGGGAGGGGGGTGGGGGGTCAGACGACTGGGATCCCGTGCGTGCTGCAGCTAATTACCGGAGTATGGGGACGTGCGAAAAATAACTATTAAAAGAATGCTCGTGTGAAGTAATTAATAGCGACAATGGCTTTATCGGGCATTAATTAATTTATCGGTCATTATATTGAAACACCAAATACAATACACAGCGGACCTGGTACAACCACAAATATATATTCGAACATTTCACACGGGCAGTGCGACAGCTGAAACCTTTTGGTAATTGATTTTAATTCGCAGCGCATTGCATTTCGGGTGGGCGATGCCAAAGTTTTAGCCAGGCCAAAACTAAGTTAAATAAGAAAAAGCAGCTGTCTTCGGGCTGTCGAATATTTAATACCCTGGCGGGCTTGCTTCACATAAATACTGCAATTCAATTTTGATCGATTATTAATATGAATGACATACAATATAGTTGTCCGATATCTATATGATTGTGCTCATAAGTTAAGCTCGTAAAAGCTTAGTTTGCTTGAGATATCTAAAAAGACCAAATATGTTTCGCTCATGAAATTTCAACTCTCTTTTTTTGATTATTGCTGTGGGAGCTATATGATATGGCGGTTGAGTATTGAAAATACGATGAACTCAACTTTTGGTTAAAATATAATAAAACATTTCTTGAAATTTATAAAAAGTTTTATCATACAAATATATTTTCCACTGGTATTTATGATCATATATTAAAGAATTTTATTTTGATTTTCCTATCTTAAGCTAGCGATAAGATTCCTTACATATTACACATCGCATGACAAAAACAAAGTACTCTTCCTGCAAGTGTATAAAATAACAAACATAACTTGAAAGTTTACCCTGGGTCAAGTTTGGCTCTTAGTTCTATTGTATTAACTGGGCTTTGAGCTGTTCTCATGCTCTGTTCTCTGTTGTCAGTTGCAAAGTCCACATGACAGACGCACTTCACTTTCAGAGACTCCTGTGGAAAGTTTCATGTTAGCTTTTTGGTCGATGGATTTGCCAATGGATTAGACTGCCGCACGCAGAGCAAGTTTTATTGTCAACTTTAACTCTATAGTTTGCAATTTATGAGCGAATACTTAACTATGACAGAATTCCTTAGTTTTATCTTTAGCTTTAGCTCTAGCTTGAGAAACTGACACTCTTTCCGCTTCCCCCAATCGATAAATCATCTATAATATTTATGCTACCCCCTCTAAAGGTTAAACACTGTAATTAAAAAGGCGTCCATTATGAGTTCTACTTAGAAAAGAAATTCCGTTGCTCGTTTGTTAAATGAAGCCTGAAGAGCCAAGTCATTAAGTGCAGTCAAAAAAGAAACAGAAACAAATTGATTTTTAATTAATACTCAATTATCATAGCTGCACGGAATTAATTAAAATATTCTCTTTACGTTTGGTGTATTTACAATATCCGATATTTTCACAAAAATAATACTCTCCCGTAGGGTAATTCAGTTTTCTTGCACGATATGTGTCATCCATAGTTATGAAGTGGAGGCTGCTTGCAACTCATATAGACTAATATATATTCCGGCTTGGTTTAATGATAGGTTTTTGCATGAAAATCTCTGTTTTTTATATATATAAGCCAATCTCAGCGAATACAATAACAATGAAGCTTCCAATGAACTGACAAAATCACATCATCTGTTATATCGTACAGCTGCCATAGTCAGGTGCACATCCGCATGGATAAATAAGCTTGAAAATGCCAAATAAAACTCTTCTTTCCTGGTATTTTATGGTTTTTACTTCTCATGTTTTGTGGCAGCAAAATTAAATTACCTTTGAGTTGAAATTACATTTACTGCGCCACAGAATTTAAATAATTTGTAAATGCGCGCATATGTTTAAGATATTTTTAACAGTGAAAAGCCTGCAGTTTTTATTTGAAAATTAAAAGTTTTTGATTTCAGCTTTATTTTGACTAGTTATAATAACAAATATTTTTGTGTTTAGATTTAATTGATTTTATTGTATCTGCTGTTCCTTATTTCGAAGCTTTACTGTATTATGCATATCATATTATAATTATTAATATTATTTTTTATTGGAACTGTTATTTTATTATTATACTTTTATATTATTTTTATAATTATTGTTATTGTTATTATTTTTGAAATGAATCTATTCATCCAAATCTTAAATATTCATATATTTTCTGCGAGTGCGTTATGTAGGCGTTTTGCTGTTTGAATGTGACAGGCACTTTATCTCGCTTCATCGAATTCCATTGAACTTTAGCAAAAAGCACAATAAATAAACCTTAGAAAAGGCAAATAAAATTGTATGTCAATTCGCCATAAAAAAAAGAGAACGAAACAAACCACAATTCGCCTCGGGAATATTTAATATAAATCGTGAATTTGTATTGTCACTGTATGGATTGGCATCCCCGGCGCCTAATTAAAAAACAATATAGCCCGTGGCAAATCCATTGATTAAGTGCATTTTTTGTTGTATATGAAACGATTAAATCACCTGCCCAATACGTTCGTTTCGAAAGAGGGAGGTGGGTACTACATTGAACAACTCCCTTGCCGCAGGTCTGGGCAGCTGTCAAGCAAAGGAAGTCCTTTGCTTTTGCTGCCCAGCAAAAAGTGTCGTAAAATGCCGACCGTTCCTTCATTTCTGTTCACCTTTTTGTGCTTCTTGTTTTCTGCTTGTGTTTCCTGATTTGTTGTTTTGTTTTTTTTTTGGCTAGAAAACAAAAAAAAAAATTGCGAAAAGTTTTTGCATTTCGGCTGGGCGTAAGAAAACCCGACACAATTTAAACTTTTCTCTAAACAAAATAAACATAAAATGTAAAAAAATTAGCTATTTGCTTAAGCTATTTACTCTTACTCTCACCAGCTCCCGTTCATACTTTCTCCAGTTAAAACTCTCTCTTTGCGAGTTTTCGTTCGGCTCAGTGTAAAAAGGTTGTTTGGGGCTGGAAATTTGTCAATGGCAGGAAAAGCGAAACTCTTTTTCCCTTTGGCGCTGGTGCATTTCAATTTTGCGCAAATTGAAGCATTTGAAACAATTTCACACACACAAACACACACACACACACACACACTCGTTTACACCCGGTTGCATTTTGTAACAAGATTTATGCACAATTTTCATAAAACTGACAACATGACGTATGATTAATTTCTTAGCTGCCACTGTGCTGCGAATGTTGTTGCTGCTCGATGTTGTTCGTTGTTGTTGCACGGCGTCTGCTGCTGCTTCTTGTTGCTACATTTAATTAAATTGGTAACTGTGAAAAACTGAGCTGAGGTCCTG